CCCTAACCCTAACCCTAACCCTAACCCTAACCCTAACCCTAACCCTAACCCTAACCCTAACCCTAACCCTAACCCTAACCCTAACCCTAACCCTCTCCTCATCCACACTTCGAATTCCCTTCTTCTTCCACGCACGCACACAAATTTGGGAGAGACGCATTGCCAATACACAATGCAGCGGCGGCCACTCCCTTCACAGCCATATCTGTCACAACACAGAATCCACCAAGGCATGCCACAGACGCACATCAAAAGAGAAAGAGTGCTGCCCACGGGATATGCAGAACCAACAGACCACACACCCACTCGCACTGCACACACAAGAGGGCGTCGGACCGATTTCACTCCACACGCAGTGTTGCCCATTTCAATACCTCGATGCTGAAGACCAACGCGTGGAGAGCACAACCAACAAAAACTACAACAACAACAAAAGCAGCAGTGGGCCACAACACCGTCGCACGTCTGCAAAAGCCACGGGGGATTGAGAGCAGGAGTCACCATGAGGATAGCAACTCATTCCGTACACCGCTCAGAGCGTTGCTGCCATTTGGTTTCAGTCAACTCCCCCATGTGGCATCGAAGAAAACAAACTGTGCACGCCGAGGGGACACTACCCCCAACACTGCATCCCAGCACAAACATCATGTCTGTCATCTTTTATCTTCTGGGGAAAAGGAACACTAATGTCATGCAAGGCGGGAAGAAAAGTGAGAAGAGCTTGCAGTTCAAACCACAATAGGGATGCACCTCACCACGCCTATGCGCGCGAGGCGAAGCTGAATGGAGAATCCTTTTCTCCGGAGCTTGGAGAGCCCAGTGTGCTTGCAGCTATTGTGAGGCCTCCCCATACACGCGTAAGCATATCCTCTGGAACCCTCCACGACGAAGGCAGCAGCCCCAACAGTCAAACCATCATTCGCTTCGTTGTCTCAAAAAAAGGCATTGCCCACGGCTGCACTCTCAACAGGGCCCTTAAAGCTCTTTGCTTCCACCCCTGTCAGTGAGGAAAGCGCCCCGCAGGGAAGACAAGTGCACCCTCACGGTGCATTTTCGTTCACATCGCCAAAAAAAAGTGGAAGAGTGGACGGGCATGATAAGAAGAAAGATAAACGCTCACACCTCACACACCCCCGGTCATGCAGCAAGAGGCCACACATGGAGTGTAGTCGGTCCTCTTTGTCTGGTAAACGGGCTTCCTACCAAGC